TCTGATCATCAGTCCCAGCAGAACTCAACACTTCACATCTGTCTCTCTCTCTCTGAGCTGTGAGGACCAGAGTAACTCTGATAGATGGAGAGTGAGAAGATACACAGAGAGTTGGGGGCTGCAAGATTGTTCGTCATCACTGTGGGGATCACAAACAGGATCTACATGTACAATCAGCTCGATTATTGCTTCAGACACTGGCGTGTACTGGTGTCAGTCTGAATCTGGAGAAAAATATCATCCTGTTAATATCACTGTACACTGTAAGTCTGTATTTATGTATTTATTCACTTCGCTGGCCGTTTGTAAATCAATACATAAAGCAAGTTGATTAAATAAGTTCAGGAAACAATAGATCAGTGGTCTTCAACCATTTTGAGCCCAAGGACCAAATGCTACTGTACAAACTGAGTTGCTTTTTAAGGCTGGCTTTAAATAACTTTTGTATAGCAATGTGTTCACATGCTCTGTGTCAGGAAATATACAGACACAGGATGGAGAGTGAACCCAATCACAGGTATTTATTGACAGAGAGAGTAGTCAAAACACTCAGCTTGGAAAAAGTGCAAAGTCTTTACTGGTTCCCACTCCTATGTAATCTCCCTTGTCGCCTGTGAATTCATGTAATCACTGAAGAAATGGGCAAGTATCAATATGTAAGGCAAAGAGAGTCTTAGTGTCCTTGTTTAAGCCCAGATATTGACTGAGGGTCAGTTATGAGCCGGAAACCCTGATGTCATGGCCAACCCTGTTTATCACTCTTTGTTTGGGCCATACTCCTCCCAGTTGACCAAGTACTCAGCCACTCCAACTTTGGCAATCGAGAATCACTTGGATTGCGTACACCAGCCCATCATCCAGGAGTAGTGGAAAAGGACCATCAGCCGTACTGGGCTCTGAGGAAGGAGGAAATGAGAAGGTTGATGAGATATTAAAAAAGTATACATGGAAGGTGGGATGAATCCTCTAGTGAAATGAGGAGTTGTAGTTGAAATGTGACTACAAGATGGTCAAGGAGCCTACGAACCGGGGACTTTTCCCAAAGAACTTTCGGCTAAGCAGCCAGAATCTGATGTCTCTGATGGAGAGCCAGACCAGACCATACAACACAACCCAATATTCGTAGTGGCCTGTAGGGGTCACAAAGGCGGTCTTCAACTCGTCCTCCCTTCATATTCCGACAAGTTGTAGGTGCTGCACCGAGCTTTATAAATTCCGTTGCTCATCTAAATAATTCAAGGACCACAGGTATAAGGAGTGGATACCAGAACTTGATGGTGACTTGGTTAAGGTCACTGTAATCAATGTAGATCCTCAAGCCTTTCTCAGTTTTGGAAGTGAAGAAGCTCAAAGTGGAATGTGGCAGGGATGTATCCTTGGCGTTAGAGCCTCTTCAAAATACTCCTCCATGACCTTTTGTTTGGAAAGTGAAAAGGGGTAGATCCTCCCTCTTTGCAGAGGCTTACCTGGTTACAGCTCAATGGCATAGTCCCATGGTCTATGAGGGGGAAGTTGTAAGGCCCGTTGTGTACAGAAGACATCCAAGTAGCAATGATAGATGGCTGGCTTTCAATGGAGCAATCACTGATCTTGATGAGTGGCTTGAGAGACTGGTGTTGAGTAGTGGTTTGAGAAGGTCTTGGAAGCGGGGTGATGCAGTCCTAGAAACAGTTCCTCCCCTACTCCAGTATCTCACCAGTCAACCAGGAGAGGATGGGAGAGTATTGTGACAGCTAGGGACACCCCGAATAATTAATTTGAGGTAAAAATCCAATTTGTAGTTCGACTGGGATCATGTGGTGATGACTGAAACCTTTTCAAGGGGTTTTCTAGTTGTGTATTGAATTAGGATTACTGCACTGTACTGTAGATGTACTGTAGAGGATAGAGAGATAAAGTTGCCGGCACAACTGGACTCAAACAGGGCCGATATATTTAAGCAGATATAGCCAAAAGTAACACTTACTTTAGTATGAAGAGGTGAGTGGATAACCAGGGAATAATTGATGGGACTCACCGTGGGGCATGGAGGTCTAACAGGGCACTCTGCCATAATATGTTCGCCAGCTCCACAGTACAAGTTTAATTGATTAGTTAAGCAGTGCAAGCACTCAGCAGGGGTTAATTGAACATCCACATACACAGACTCATCCATGGGTTCTGGAGGGTGATTTGATAATGGGCAGGATATCAACATTGATTGCAGGGTAGAATGGCTGTGGAGGCATGATCTCATACGATGTGACACTCAGTTGAACAATTGGATGAATCTCTCCAACCCCATAGCATTGTCATACGAAGAGAGATGCAGCCTGACTGTTTATGTCCTTGGCAATATGTGGTTAGGAGGGCCAGCTCATTCCATTTGTTCATATCCAGAAAGACCAGGACTGACATAACAAAAGGTTGTAGTGGTGATGGTGAAGTGGTGGGGCTGGTGAGAGCTTGTACAGAGTTGTTGGACTAGGATCCTTGTGAGCATCGAAATCCATTCCTGCTGGGTTCATGTAGTTGGTCTGGTCTTTTTTTCGGGATGTGGCTGGAGAATGCAGTTAAATCACTGGGATAAACAGGTAAGTATCAGTATATAAGGCTATGAGTCTTAGGGTGTACTCGCACTAGGTGATCCTGAACCCTGAGCATGTTTGACCCCCTAAGTCTTGTTCATTGGACTAGTGTTATCACTCTGGACCGTGCCCTGGCCCACTTGAGGAGGTGGGCTTGGGAACGGTTTGATTGGGCTCAGGCGTGGTACACACATAGTGTGACAATCACACTCGGGCTTGGTACAAGACAACTGTGCCTAGTGTGAGTACGCCCTTAGTGTCCTTGTTTAAGGCCAAATGCTGACTAAGGGTTTGTCGTGAGCATTTTTTGCGGTCCTTGATTTCACCAGTATTGATTATGAGGTGAGATTGATCAGAAATCTTGTGAGTTGGAGTAGGGAGAGCCCGGCATAAGTGTGACAATGCTTACACTGCAAATCCATTAATAATATTCATCATTATTGATGTACCTAGGGCTCACAGACCTCCTGCTGAAGAACCCCCTAATTAGACAAAGCTCATATTCTGTGTTCGGATCATTAAGATAATTTTTTTGTCACCATGCCTCCATATATATATATATACTTCTCTGTTTCTGTAGTTTTTGTGATTCTGGAGAGTCCTGTTCATCCTGTGACTGAAGGAGATACTCTGACTCTACGCTGTTTAAATCAACATTCAACCCCACCAAACCTCAGAGCTGATTTCTACAAAGATGGATCACTCATTCAGAATCAAACTACAGAGATGATCATCTCTAATGTCTCAAAGTCACATGAGGGTTTCTACTACTGCAAACACCCAGAGAGAGGAGAGTCACCCAAGAGCTGGATCTCTGTTAGAGGAGTCTCAAATGAATGCTGCTGTAAATGTGAGCTTATTTATTTCTTCTTATGCTCTTGTTCAGATATAGTGCTAGATAAAGTGCTTGTGCGTCTCTTTTTCAGTGTCTCATTCAGAATCTCAGATCTCTGTCCTCCACACACTCAGTTCTGTACTGGCAGTTTGTCCATATCTGATAGTGACTGTCGTGCTGATTTTCAAATGCTGCAGGATGAGAGGTACAACAGCTAACTGATTTATTAGATGTTATAATCACTATATTTAATTTCAATAATCATATTTAAATAAATTACAAAAAACAACATTTTACAAATTTTCATTTTTGGGTGAACTATCTCTTTAATCTAGTTCAAATATAATGGTAGTCTACAAAAGCAATAAATGAAGATAGAAAAAATGCATGCATGCCAATAAGTAAATGCTGAAAAGTTTGTTTTTTGTGTGTATTTAACAGTTTCATGTTGAAGAGGAAGAAACTTTAATTTAATCTGTTGTGATGGTGAGAAAATCAACTTCATCTTAAATGCAGAACTCCCTTACTGATCGCTCTGTGTGTGTGTGTGTGTGTGTGTGTGTGTGTGTGTGTGAAATACAGGAGTCATCCCTGATTCACGATGACTAACCTTTAGGCATCTCATGGTTGTTAAAATCAACATGAACCAGAATTACCAGCCCACTTGACTTCCATTGATTTCCTTCTCATTTGATTTTATCCATGATGAACTGACTGTAAAAAGTAGGTTACACTTTGGAATAGATAAGTATAAGGGTCCATTTTTTAATGTAATATTGACTTTAACCAGCCCTAATCAAACACACCTGAACAAGCTAATCAAGGTCTTCGGGATTATTAGAAAGTTACTGCCTGGCGAGTTTGATCAAGGATGAACAGATTTACACCTGGTTTTAACCCATTTGGATCTTGACCAATAAAATATTGGTAATATGGACAAAACCCCTCTGCACGTTCATGAACTTCACTGAGCTTTAGCATCACAAGTACATCCCCATAAGTTCAGTTCATATCATCCCAATGGGCATTTATTTTTATCTTTTAATGTTTATATTTTGATTTTCCCTATTGATTTAACTCTTAAATAAAAGTTTAATATTTCTTTTTTTTTGTTCTATTTTAATATTATGACACATTATAACCACATTAACAACCTGCAATTTGTAAGCATGTGTATTCCTTATTTTGTCTCTTGTTATTGCTGCAATATTTTGTTTTTAACATTTTTTTCTTCTTTTTTAATAAAGAAAATGTATATTTTTAAAAAACATTCTGGAGCTGATGCTTTGTTAAAACTTGCAGTGTCACAGTAAGAGCAGAAGAACAATTACTTCTCACTATAATGAATCAGGATTTATTCTCTAAATGTCTATTTAGGATATTGCAGCATAATGCTACAGTAATCTAAATTATTACGGTTGCTATGCAGATAAAATATTCACATTTTAAATAATTCCTGAACATGCCTTTCTTGTATCTACAGCCAATTCACATGTACTAATTTTTATACTGTCAGGATCTCCAGCTGGAGTGCCCATGAGATCCTCTAGAGCAGGGGTACCCAAGCTCGGTCCTGGAGGGCCGGTGTCCTGCAGAGTTTAGCTCCAACCCCAATTAAACACACCTGAACCAGCTAATCAAGCTCTTACTAGACATACTAGAAACTTTGTAGCAGGTGTGTTGTAGCGTCTGGACCACTCAAACACACAATATATATTTTGTTAGCTAGATTTAACAAATACTCTGTAACACCCCAGGAAGCCGAACAGGCCCCTGGTTCCATAGCAATGCTGACACCAGATACATTTACGATCTAAAGGAATGTGAGCAGAGACTCTCACTGCATTTTCCAGAAGCAAGAGGCACAAATGCACAGTAGAAATTGACTTTTCTACTAATTAATTCATAGGAAAACCTGAGGCAAGTTTGAGGTAAACTCTGCAGGACACCGGCCCTCCAGGACCGAGTTTGGGCACCCCTGCTCTAGAGGGCACTTTATCCTTAACCTGCACCATTGTTTCACGGACTACATTTCCCATGACACCCCATGCCAACACCTACAGCTGTTTCCAATTAGAAGAACTATTTAAGTTGCACTCATTCACATTCACATGGTGAAGTATTGTTTTACTGTCGTGGACTCTGCCCAGCGTTTTCATTTGCCATTGCCATTGCCATAGCCTTGTTTTATTGATTTGTTCATTTATTACTTTGGACTGCTCACTTGGATTGACCCTCGAATGTTCCTTTAGATTACTCTTTTGCCTCTGCTTAGGATTACATTGTTTGCTGGATATTGACCTTGCCTGTTTGACTATGCCTTTTGTGTAATGAAGCTTGCACTTTGTTCTACCTAAAGAGTCCCCGTTACGTTTTCATCCTGTTGTTCTGACTGGCATGAAAAAAATGCTGTATACTAGTGTTCAAATGGTAAGAACTACCAGTTGTGGTGGTTCTAGAACTCTACTGAACATGAATGCATGGTGTTGAATGCTAAATATGTGTTTAGAGTTGTGAAACAGGAATAATGTTAATAGTTTGGAGAAATAGTTTAGAAAATGCTAATTTAGTCTATAGCATTTTAGTAATATTTGCCTAATCTACTGGATCTTAGTATCTAAGCAATTGAGCAAAACTAATAAAGTTGGAGACGTATGAAAAACCTTTAACCCAAAGTATAAGCAATAGTATGTAGGATATCAGCCCAAATCAGACAATCTAAGATTTGGTCAAAACATGGTTGAGGCACGAGTAGTCCAAATTCCACGAGGAGTCCAAGACAACAGGATGTCATAAATCAGACCCTAGCCAGTCTGAAGCAAGGCTAACAAACTCTTTCACAGAACAGATTTCAACATTAACACTAAAGGAACACACTGATCATAACTCAGGAAGGAGATTGTCAATTTTGGGGGCAAGTTACACTTCATAATATACCATCATTGTCTACATTCAAGACTCAGCTAAAAACGTGTCTTTTTAATATGTATTTTGGATAATGTGGCTATATTGTCTTCTACTGCAGGTTTGAAAAGACACCCCACACCCGCCCTGAACACCTCTCCACACAACCATTCACACCTCCAGCAACCCCCCTCTCCCCCACACCTGCAATTCAGATCAGCGAAGACGAGGTGCGCCAGGTCTTCCGTGTGACCTTATGTGTTTGTATTGTGTATATGGGTGTGCAAATGTTTTGTTTAGCACTATGTAAAGTGACCTTGAGCTATGGAAAGGCACTATATAAATAACACTTCTTCTTCTTCTTCTTTTTCTTCTTCAGTGCTTCCTCTTTCACCCTCAGTCTCGCAGTTAAATATCATTGTACAATTTAGGGAACATTTCATCTCTGTTGATGATAATTATGTACTTTAAATCAATTTTCTTTGTAAAAATCATATTTTAGCAATTAAGGGAAAGCATATTATAATGTCAGACAAATATTTTATGCACCCTATTTTTCAGTGTGAAATTGCATTGATATCCCTTAACGAAAATGTTCAATCAGCATCATATATATACAGTATATATATATATATACGTACACAGTTATTCAAATAAGTATACAGATTCACTGGGAGGAAAGGGCATAATAATCAGTGTTATTGAACTCAATACCATCGGTGCCAGAGGCCTGATAAAGTAGAATTAGATAAAGAAGAGCTCATATTTCATAGTGGTTTATATGTTTGTTCTTTTAGCTCTGTGGCATTAACCAACAAGAGAGAAGCAGTGTTTTTTTCTTGTTTTTTACTAGTTCCTGGTCCTTTTATAAATATAGCTAATAACATAATTACAATAAAGATCAAAGTATTGTTTAAGTTTCCTTGTTTATTAAACTTCTGTAACAATGTTCCTAAAGATCTGACTGCAGGTTTCAGGAAGTCTTGAGGCTTTAACACAGTCTGTGTCTTTAACCGTCTGTCATCATTCAGTCAGTATGGAACTTCCTCTTGTGCTCTGTGAGTATTATTTTATACTTTACACCATGAACCGTAGGGCTACAAAGATACATCATCTGCGTCAGGAGCTTCGCACCCTCAAGAAACAGTACAAGAAAGCTACTGATGAGGAGAAGCGACCATTAGCAGAGCTGCAAAATATCCTGCGGAAGAAGCTGATGATCCTACGCAGAGCAGAGTGGCACCAGAGACGGGGGAGAGAAAGAGCCAGGAAGCGAGCGGCTTTTATTGCCAATCCCTTCGGTTTTACAAAACAACTACTCGGGGACAAGCGTAGCGGTCGGCTTGAGTGCTCAATAGAGGAAGTGAATCACTTCCTCCAGGACACAGTGAGCGATTCCCTGAGAGAGCAAGACCTGGAGCCCAACAAAGCTCTCGTCAGCCCCACCCCTCCAACAACAGAGTTCAACTTGAAGGGGCCAAGTCTGAAGGAGGTTGAGGAGATCATCAAGGCAGCTCGCTCAGCATCTACTCCAGGCCCCAGTGGCGTACCTTATTTGGTCTATAAGCGCTGCCCAGATCTTCTCCGGCACCTGTGGAAGATCTTGAAGGTGATTTGGCGAAGAGGAAGAGTTGCTGACCAGTGGAGGTGTGCTGAGGGAGTGTGGATTCCTAAAGAGGAGGACTCAAAAAACATCAACCAGTTTCGAACCATCGCACTATTGAATGTTGAAGGTGTTTTTTAGCATCGTCTCACGAAGACTGACAGAGTTTCTCCTCAAGAACAACTACATCGACCCCTCAGTGCAGAAGGGGGATTCCTGGAGCTCCCGGCTGCCTGGAACATACTGGTGTAGTTACACAACTCATCAGAGAGGCCCATGAGAACAGAGGCGACCTAGTTGTTTTGTGGTTGGACCTGGCGAATGCCTATGGGTCCATACCGCACAAGCTAGTCGAGCTCGCTCTACACCTCCATCATGTTCCCAGTAAGATTAAGGACCTGATCCTAGATTACTACAATAATTTTAGGATGTGGGTCACTTCAGGGTCAGAAACATCAGACTGGCATTGTATTGGGAAAGGAATAATAACAGGCTGTACCATCTCTGTTATTATTTTCGCTCTTGCCATGAACATGGTGGTCAAGTCAGCCGAGGTGGAATGTAGAGGGCCCTTAACCAAGTCAGGAGTACGACAGTCCCCTATAAGAGCCTATATGGATGACCTTACTATTACAATGGCATCGGTCCCAGTGACTCTACACTGTTTATATCAACATCCAACCCCACAAAACCTCAGAGCTGATTTCTGTAAAGATGGATCACTCATCCAGAGTCAAACTACAGAGATGATCATCTCTACTGTCTCAAAGTCACATGA